GATCAATCCAAGACCTTAATTGCTGACTGAAAATCCAATTTCTTCTCGACCTTCTTGTCCAGTTTGTGCGCGCCTTCTTCTCCCTCTATCGCCTATCATGCAACACCCGAGTCAGTCAGTCAGTCAACTGGACCAGGCGAACCCAACCGGACCCAAACGGGCCCAACAAAACAACGCTACAAAGCACGTGATCTTCAACGGGTGACGTTCAAGACAACCGTACTACCGTGGTTGGAAAAAAATGGCGGCCGTCATCCATTGATCCGCCAACCGTACGGTACCATACCGTACCGTACCGTACTGGATCATCGGCTTCATCGTACAGCATGGACTGGCAAAGCGCAAACTTGCTATCACTGTATTTTACACTGTAGTCATTGTACTGTACACTGTAGTCATTGTGACCATCACTCTACAGAGTATGGTACACTGTAGTCACTGTCCACAGTACTGTATGGAAAAAAGCGCTTGGACAAGTGTACTGTACACTGTAGTCACTGTCCACAGTATGGAAAAAACCGCTTGGACAAGTGTACTATACACTGTAGCCACTGTCCACAGTACTGTATGGAAAAATGCTCTTGGAAAAGTGTACTGTACACTGTAGTCACTGTCCACAGTATGGAAACAACCGCTTGGACAAGTGTACACTGTAGTGATTGTCCACAGTATGGAAAAATGCTCTTGGAAAAGTGTACACTGTAGTCACTGTCCACAGTACTGTATGGAAAAAACCGCTTGGAAAAGTGTACTGTACACTGTAGTCACTGTCCACAGTATGGAAACAACCGCTTGGACAAGTGTACACTGTAGTGATTGTCCACAGTATGGAAAAATGCTCTTGGAAAAGTGTACACTGTAGTCACTGTCCACAGTATGGAAAAATGCTCTTGGACAAGTGTACACTGTAGTCACTGTCCACAGTACTGTATGGAAAAAAGCGCTTGGAAAAGTGTACTGTACACTGTAGTCACTGTCCACAGTATGGAAAAAACCGCTTGGACAAGTGTACACTGTAGTCACTGTCCACAGCATGGAAAAATGCTTAGTAGTGATTGTACTGTACACTGTAGTAACTGTGACCATCACTCCATCGTACTGTACACTGTACACTGTAGTCACTGTCCACAGTATGGAAAAAACCGCTTGGACAAGTGTACACTGTAGTCACTGTCCACAGCATGGAAAAATGCTTAGTAGTGATTGTACTGTACACTGTAGTAACTGTGACCATCACTCCATCGTACTGTACACTGTACACTGTAGTCACTGTCCACTGTATGGAAAAATGCTTTTTCCGCTTTTCATCCTACAGCATCGAAGCGCAAGCGCAAACTTGCCATCACTCTATTCCACACTGTAGTGACTGTCAACAGTATGGAAAATGCTTTTGCACAAGTGCCATAACTATTGCAAACTTGCCATCACTCTATTCTACACTGTAGTGACTGGCAACACGGTGGAAAAATGCTTTTGCACAAGTGTTTGGCGCTCGCATGTGGCCCAAATACAGCGTAATGCTCGGCTCCCAAAATCCAGTATCCACTGCTACAGTGGACAGCAAGTTCCACATAGTAAGTAACATACAGTAAGTACAGTATGTACTGTGCACAGAGTTCATCCTCTACAGTGTACAGTGTACAGTACTGCAAGGGACAGGACCCGCATGGTACTGTACTCTCCATTGTTGACATTGTCATTTCATCATCCGGTAAAATCATCGAGGTCAGAAAAAGAGTACAACAAAAGAAAATCCAAACGATGCATCATTCTACTAAACGCTTCCTTTTTTTTTTCTCGATCTCTGCCTAAAACCATCAAGGAATCTTCTACTATACAGTATAGAGTACAACAAAAGAAAATCCAAACGATGCATCATTCTACTAAACGCTTCCTTTTTTTTTTCTCGATCTCTGCCTAAAACCATCAAGGAATCTTCTACTATACTGTATAGAGTACAACAAAAGAAAATCCAAACGATGCATCATTCTACTGTACTGTAGTAGTAGTACAGCAATCATGTTGATTGCATTCAGGGTTGTACAATGGAGTCAAAAGGCAACCCGAACCCGCTCAAACCCGATCCAACGGTTCCTTTTTGCAAACCCAAATGACGACAATCCCCTATACAAACACTGTATTATTACGCCAATACTCCAGCCGAATCCCGCAAGTCGGGTTTCGGCTGGACTTTGCACTTTCCTGATTGCAATGCCACTGAGTAGTCCACATTTTGACAATGATCGAGAAAGAAATCAATCATTACCGCCGTACAAGTTCTCTTCTACCCGTCTTGGAGTACTGTGCTCATTTTCAACACTTTCTCAAGCCATCAACAGAACGGCTAGAGAACCACTTCAGTATGGTAAAGCTACAGTACAAGTGCCTACCACTCGACGTCCATGTTGACTACAGGATTGACTTGGTCTCTTTCCATTCGCCCAGTCCAACTTACGGTACACTGTACAGTACTTCGACATGACTGTGCTAGTCGGAGTCCTCCATGCTGTACTCATCTGGAAATAGATTCAGAAATGAACAGTCCCCCCCCAAACCACATGATGAGTCTGAGGATCGCAGCACAGTGATGGAGAAGAAAGCGGAGCCATGTTGACGTTGCCGTACGTGTCCATAACCACTGAGTCATCATACGGCAACGCAAACCAACCCCCCCAACAAGTCGAGTTTGTATGACTGTAAGGGTTGCATCATACTAAGAGCACACACACGTGGAGCGTCACGACATCCTGACGTCCTGTTGTGGCTGCGCAAGAGGTCAAAGGAAAGAAAGAAAAAATGGTGGCAAACAGCAATGCCAACAAACAACAAATCTTTTCAAATGCAGGGGCTAATTGCTCAAGCAACGACTTCAACTTGTAGTCTACTTTGTTGAAATAGCTTTACAAAGGGGTTATTCCAAATGGATGATGAGAAGGTAATCTTAATGTACTATACTTCTGACACAGCTGGTATCCAACGTGTGCGACCACTTGCATCATGCTTTGCATTTGGACTGCGCCGCCAAAATGGCCACAAGGAAAACGATCGTATACAGTGTTTGTCGTCGTTTCCTCTGCAGTNA